TGTTTGGGCCAGCTCCGGCACTCAGCACAGAGCCCTGAAAGCCAGATCATCCTTGTGCTGTGCTCAAGGGGGACCTGGCCTTCAGCAGGGGACCATTGTCTCTGCCTCACTTCCTGATTGTGTACCCCGAGTGCACTGGTGCCTACCGCAGCCCTGCGCCTGGAGGGTTGAAACATTTAGCTCAAAATAGGCCGAGCCCACAGGGCTGTGCACTTTTTAAAGAAGGTATTTGAAATATTTTGCCGGTCTGCTCTTTATTACCCAGGAGTGGGGGAGAAGGGAAGGCAGCGCATGGCCAGATGTGAGGGCATGGAGCCTCGTGTTTGAGCAGCCAGAGGGAGAGTCCTTATGAGCCAGGGTGTGGGGTGTGGGAGGAAGGGTACGACTTTTCCTCCTCTCTGCCTCCGCTTCCTATTAGCAGGTGTTCCTGTTAGGGTGAGTCCTCCAGGTAGACCTCTGCCACCCTGGATTCAGATTTAGACAAGAACTTGTAGCATTTGACAGCTGGGCGGGGCCTCAAGGGCACCCGTCTCAGGCTGCACCTCAGAGAGCGGAATAGCATCATTGGCTTTCAGAGCACTGGACAAGGCTGATGGCCAAGGAAGTGCCAGCACCACCTGCTCCTCCGTCTCACCTTCCTCTTCTGTGTGGTTTGTCAGGTTCCCTGAAAGCACACTGTGCTGGCCAGGCATCCTGTCCTGCATGATCCCTGCTCCCTAGGCCCCGAGTCCTGGCCATTCCACTCCCCAAGACTCCCTGAGACCATCTCACCCTAACCCACATCACCTTCGCCGACTGAAGCTCTCCACCCACGGTGGCTCCCACCTGGTTGCCCTCCTCTGTCATCTCCTCGGAATCACAGCGACCTCCTGCAGACTGGGTTCCTGCTTCTGTCCTCACCCTCTCCACCTCATCCTCCCTCTTTTGCTGGGCTCCTGGCTTTGTCTTTCCTGTACCTCCACCTCCACGTTCCCCGTACAAACTCCTAGACATGCAGGAAAGGCTGTCTCTTAGGTCTTGCCTCCCTCGCCAGTTCCCATATTGGCTCTGCCTAGGGCCTGCCCCACTGCTCCTCCCTGCTAGACTCCCAGGAACCCTGAAGAGTCCTCCTAGACTCCCAGGGACCCTGCATGCAGCATGGGCAGCCCTCCATGCCACTGTGACTCTTGCTTGGATTCTTCTCCACTGCAAGACCACACGGCCAGCTCATCGCTGTGTACCCTCCCGGGTTTCCTGATCTGTGGAGCCTCCCCAGCTGGACCCTCTGAGCTCCTAAGCACACCCAGTTTTTAAGGTGCCTGTTGGGAGAGCACAGTGTCTCTGAACGCATCCTTTGGCCTTGCCAGGCTGCGAGCTCCTGGGAGCAGGGCTGAATCTTCATCTTCTCTGTCTTCTGTAACACCTCCTGTGGTTCCAGGCACCAGTTGGCACTTAATAAAGGTATTTTTAGCAAGAGAATGTTGAACTCCCAAGCATTTCACATTGCCACTGCCTTACAAATGTCCCATGTGACTAGGTGCACGGCTGATGGGATGTCACCTGGGAGATGGAATTTCGTTGTTGCCCATTCATCCTCTTTACGGTGCAGACAGAGGGGGAAGAGTAGTGCGTTGTTGCTTATTAGGCTATGATCCAGCCTATTTGTTTTTCTGTTTTCCTTGAAGGAGTCACCTTGCCAGACAACAGAAAAAAATATGGATCCGAGAAAACTGATACAAGTTTTCTATGTATTGTAGTGAAAAATCTATGTACCTTTAGTCAGGCAGTGCTGTATGCATTTTTTTTCCACTGTAGTACACATTCTTTGTGTCACGTGTTAATGATTAGCAGAGGAAGCAAGATTCGTGGACAGAGATTTTCAGAGGAGTTCTGCTCTACAGTGAAAAGGTTTAAGTAACTCACATCCACTGATTGGCACTGGCTAGGTAAATGATGGTGATCCTTAGCAGCTGTTGAAAGTGATGACATTGGTATGGTACCATCTGCATACACTGCAGAAAGGCCTGAGTAGTATGAGCTTTTTCCAGGAAATAAACTATAAATATGTACATATGTGAATGTGCAAAGGCATCTGTTAGCATGTGTGCATGTGTGGTGAAGCGGTTGTTTATCATGACATATTTATGCATCGTCTGAATTCCTGCACAATCCCAAGACATATTCATCGTTTCCATGTCAGCATGTGCACGCTGGGACACGCCTGAGGCCAGTATGAGGGAGTCTGGGGTGTGCGCTTTCCTGGTCCCGTGGAGGCTTGTACTTGGCGTCCCCGAGTAGGCACCAGTACAAGGTCTCCCTCACCCGCAGTCTGTGGGTTCTCAGACCCTTGCGTCGTACCCAGCACTTGGTGTCTGCCGACTTTCTGATGCTTCCCCTTAGACGGGTGTGACCTGGCAACTCACCGCTTTGCTTTGCATTTCCTTATTTTATCCTGAGGTTGAGCTGCACGCTCCTCCTGTCCTTAATCGATCCGCTTTCCCTGTATGCAGAGTCATTTTCACTTTTCCATGTATGTTACTGTTAAGAAAAACTTTAGATGAGAAACTAGAAGGAGGGTGGCAGACTGGAGGTAGCACACCTTCCAGTGGCCTCTGCCGGCAGGCGCGGGTACACCTTCCTGCTGGTGTCCGGGGTAGATACCCCTCCCTGTGGATATGAGGCCTTCATGAGAGTGGGAAGGGAATCAGCAGCAAGGCTGGGTCTGGCAGAAATTGGGATTTGTCCTGATTTTATTCTAGTTTTTTGGTAGTGGGGACCGAATCCAGCACATTCACACTTGAGTTATAGCCCCAGTCCTATTTACTGTTGAGACAGCGTCTTGCTAAGTCCCTAAATTGTCCAGGCTGGGCTTGAACTTTCGATCCTCCTGCCTCAGCCTCCCAGAGGGCAGGGATCAGATGTGTGCCACCGTGCCTGGCTCTGATGTTTTGATATTGAGAAGCATCTGGAGGGGCTGCATGGATTCAGGGGCGGGACACGTAGCAGGGAACTGCTGGCACCAGGACACCCCCACCCCCGCCGTTGTTTTCGTAGAACGTTTCACTCTGACGTCTGGGGCTGGGTGCTCTGACGTTAGCCTCTGCGTCCTGTGGACAGGCGGGGAGTCAGGCAAATTGGCACCTTAAAGCTGTAGCTTTCCCAGTCTCGGCAGAGTCTCCCTGCCCCACGAAGCAGGCCGTGTTTTCCCATCTCTGTTGGCTGCTCACTTCACCACTTTTCATTTCAGAATCTCCGTAAAATGCATCCTCTTATCTCACAGGAAAGTTCATTTTGAGCCTTCCCCGGGGATTGGGAGGGTGAATTCTAGGTGACCTGACCTTGTCCACCTGTTGGTGGCGAAGGGGCACACGACTGCGTCCTGAGTCGTTGGCACCACAGAATCCACTGAGCCAGGGCTCTGAAGAGGAATTGAGGGCTTTCTACTTATCTCGGCTTCTCCAAATTTTCTGTCAACCTTTACGTTTGTGACAATAAGAGAAGCCATCTAAACAAAAATATAAAAACGCAACACTTTCAGCATTTAGGGAGGTTGCCATCGAATGCTTCCAGTTATTACTGCTCATTTGTATATCACAGTTTTAATAAATTGAAGCTTTGTGGAGCTGTAGTGGGAGGTTCGGTCCTTTCATGATGGTGGGCAACAGTGTGGGACTGGTGTCGTATCGGGAGGTCGATTCTGACTGTGGATCAAGGCTCCACGTCGAGGGAGAAAACTAAAGAAGGGGACACGTTCACCGTATTTCATGTTTAATTTTTATATAAACATGGTGAAAAGTGTTAAATACATGTGCAGAAAAATCCAGATGAAACAAAAAAAGCATGCCTTGGATTGAATTTTGCAACAACATCACAGGGTGTGGACAGAATAAGGGGAGTCTTTGGCTTTTGGCCATCTGGTCACATGCAGCGACCTTTGTGAGTGCCAGGCCTGGGGCAGAGGTGGGGAGGACCCCTTTTGGCTTCTCATGGGCGGGAACTGAGTGCTGCTCAGCAGATGCACTGTGCACTCATGCTCCTTTCAAGAAAGAATCATCCAGCACCAAGAATGAAGGGCACCAAGTCTGAGAGGCGTGGGATCCTGGCTCTGAGGCCGGCTGTTGACTGAGGTAGTTTACTGAGCCGGGCTGGGCACTGTTTCCCATCGTCAGTGAAGGCAGAGCTTCTGGGACTGCTCGGTGTTTAGAATAAGATGGTGTCAGCCAAGTCCCTGCTTCCCTTTAAGCAGCCGAGTGTTCTATTGTATTTAAAAATATGATTCTTAGAATGAATGCCATCAACACCTGATCTTTTGGTCTTGCTTCTGCTCAGAAATGAGGCTGCAGCCACATGGCCAAAATCATCAGACAGGTGCTTCTGCTCCGAGCCTCTTTGAGACAAAATGGGTGGTGTTCAGCTCCCCATGAAGGAGAGACCTGGAGACTTCCCTTATTCACAGGCTTGTGAACTCCTGCCTCTGCCCCTGACTCCTATCTAACCGAAAAGGGAGGCAAATCCCTCTTTCATTTAACTGTGAGGCCTCTGGCTTATATGGCTTTGCTGTAGGCTCTCATGCCCTGTACCTTGGTGTGGGGGTCTCTCTTGGGACAATGGGCACATCTGGGGTAAGTGGGGGAGGGCCCCCTACCGGATCTGAGCAGAGGAGGTGTCCCAGGCTGTGTTGTATACTTGGCTTTCGTGGCTGTGGGAAGAAGCGAATGCAAGGAGCCCGGTGTGGGGTGCTCAGCCTTGGCAGCTGGGCCTCCCCTCAGCCAGCCCAGCACCCAGGAGGAGACACAGCAGAGCAGACAGAATGCTCTGCCTCGTGCTCAGTGGTCACCTCTGGGAGCACTGTGCTGTGCCAGGTGGAGAGCTTCAGGGCCCGGGAGCGTGGCAGGGGGATGAAGGAGTGGGCCATCTGATCCGACAGGGAGCTGTGTTTAAAAGGAGTACTGCGTAACTGAGAAAGAATGGCCATAGTGGCCTTGGCTGGGACCGGAAATGTGGCCCTAGCACTTCCAGGTCCCTGGGGTCCACCAGAGGGTCCCTGCTGGTCATCGTGCCGCTGCCTTGAACCGTGCAGCTGCCCCTGGAGGCCTCCCCTCCCCCACCGACAGCCCCTAGGAAAACAGTGCCAGCCCAGCCCTTTGCAAACAACGACAGCTGGAGGGCAGGTCTCAGCGTGGCCTGGGCTCCAGGGCTCCTCAAAAGGGGCCGAGCCAGGTTTGATGGCTTTGTCATGGGGAGCGGGAGTCATCTCTTCTTTGGGGATGGACAGTGGGAAAGAGAAACGGTGGGATAGAGGGAGGTGGAACTCTGTATGTGATGCAGGAGCCCTAAGCCTGTGGTTGATCTCCCTGGGGCTGGCTGGCCACGTAGGATCCCACGTGAGGCCCACGCTCAGTGGTACACTGTGTTGTGGGCTTGGCGTCAGTACTGGAGCCCGTCCACCGTGACCCCACTCTGTTACCCTCAAGCAGGTGGGGAGGGAGGCAGCTAGTTTATACCGATAATGGCCAGCACCTGTTGGCCATAGCAAACTTCCTGTGGAGAGAGAGAGAAGGAAGGACCTGTTTGGTGTGCAGATGATTACATCTGTCTGTGCTTGTGAATTTTTAGCTGAATTAGTAAATAACACTCATGCGTGGCACTTATGGCCCATAAACCATGGCCAGGAAACGAAGTCAGAGTTTGCAAGGGGATGGCCCGTGTGCTGGAAAATCTGAACCGCAATTGTGTTTTGTTTTGATCTGCACAGTGACTTTAAAAACTGAGATACCATGGGCTTTAGCTCAGAGTTTCCATTGTGTGCCTTGAAAGTTCAAGGCCCTGAGTTCAATCCCTAGTACCAACAAAACAACACAAAACAAAACAAAAAACAAAAGAGAATTCTATTAAGAAACTGAGATACTTGAGTCAGGCATGGTGGCACATGTCTGTAATCCCAGCATTTGGGGAAGGCTGAGGGAGGAGAATTGCACATCGAGTCCCACCTAGACACCCTAGGGAGACCCCGTCTTGAGGTAAACAAGCACATCAAGACAGAACAAACCAAACTGGGGAAACAGCACACCTGGGGTCATCCCCACTGCTGCAAAAACAAACAGAACCCCAAATCTGAGGTAGTTCTCAATAAACACGGGGAGTCTTCTTAAAAACCTGGAGCTTCTGCTTCTCTTGACAGATGGGGGATCTGTGGCACGGTAGGGGCAGGGCCTGGGTGGCTGCCTCCCCTCTAGGCTGGGCATGGCGCCATTCTTTGTGTTTGTGGTCACGCCCATCTGCTTGTTTATGTCACACCCGTTACATGGCATGGTTCCCTGTGTGTGCAGAGTGCACTGGAGTTGTTGACTCTGACCTGGGTCACTGTGCTGGGTGCTGGGACAAAGGGCTGCGGCATGGGGGTGGTAGTGGAAGGGAAGCCCTGGACAGGGGAGGGGAGGGCGCCCCTGGAAGGGCCAGGCTGCTGGAGGTCTGGATGCACTTGTACAACACCGGGAGATGCTTTTGTCTCATGTGGTCTCACGCATGTTGCAGAGGGTCCCTTTGCAGTGGATATAAAATGTACACTAGGGGTTTCTATCAGCAAAATACTGAATTTTCTTACTCATTTGAAATTCCAGGATGTACTTGGGTCTGTTTCTGGACTTTCTTTCGAGCTACAGCACCTGTTGTAGTGTGGCAGCCCCCTGAGCCTGTTAGTGTGGTCTGACTGTGTGTCCAGGAGACCAATTCCCTTCATTGCCCCTCATCTTCAGAATCCTCCTGGATTTTCTGTCAGTGCCGCTCCCGGTCCCCTCACCATGTGATTCGGAATATCTAGATCCCCAATAAAAATGCATTCGTATTTTGTTATATTTCATTAAACTTGCAGATTAATTTAGGTACCTTGATGTCTTTACGAGACTGAAATACAGTATGCTTTCTCTTTGTGTACACAAACTTCTTTTGGATGCTTTGTAAAAAAGTGTGTATGATCTATACAGGATAATATGTTTCACAGCATTTTTGTCCATATGTGTAATATATTTTGATCATCCTCTCCTCATTACTCTCTCTGGCTCCACCCCAGCCCCAAATCCTTTTCCTTTTTTCTAATGCCTCCCCTCCACTTCTGTGTCATCTTTCCCCCCTCTCTAGATTCCACAGATGAGAGAGAACTTGTGATATTTGTCTTTCTGAGTGTGGCTTATTCCCCGTAATGCGACGATCTTCATTTCTGCGCACTTTCTTGCAAATGACTTGAAGACTAACATTCTGCTGTGTTTATATACTGTTTTTTTTTCTTTTGTGACAGGAGGAGCAGTGGGCTGTGAGCCCTAGTCTTACTCTACCCTTCCTAGAACTGGGTACCTTGTCCTCAGACTACACAGGTCCTTGGGTTGGATGTGGCCTCTGTCCACCTGCCGGGTGACTTCAGCATCTTCGTGGCTGTGTGACTTAGCCTCTTCCTCAGGCCACTGGCACACAGACAGCCCTGGGAGGTGTCACACACAGTGTGTGTCCCCTGGAAACCTGCACCTGGTAGCCCTAAGCAAAACATTTCTTGCTATTGTCACTGTGTGGTCTCATGCCTGTGGCTGTGTGTTTTACAAGGGAAACAGTCCTAGGGCCTGAAAAGGTTTGAGGAAATGGAAAAATTATACTGAGTGTGGAAGGCTTACTATTAAAATGTTAAGGAGCCCCGAGATGGTGTTTATTATTATAGTGCAGGTTTCATGACATGCTGTGCCTTCCTTGGAGATCGCTTGGCAGTTAGATTCTTTAGGTTGTGTGTGACAGAAAACCTGGTCTGGATTACCTCTGGTGAAAAAGAGGGGGTAGCTGTGTAGTTTTCCAGGAGGTCTGGCTTCCCAGTGGATTTAAAACTGTCTCTCTGTCCCTCTCTCTTCTCAGTCTGCCCTCTAGCAAGGTTTATTTTTTTGCCCTCTGATTGGTCATGCTTTCTTCCCCTCTCCTCTGCCATTGGCTGGCTACAGGGTTGCAGGGCACAGATTGGTTTAGGCTTCATTCCTGAGTCCCCTCCTGGAGCTGGGCCACAGCTAGGCCTGGAGGACACAGAGCTGAAAGGAGAGAGAAGGAGGCTGCTGGCTGGCTCCCTACCAGCTCAGTCCTGCAGGAGTCACACTTGAGAGAGGAGAGTGATGTTGGAAGGTGTGACTTGTGTTGATGACACTTTCGGGGAAATGTAGGGAGGGCAGAGTCTTTCAGTGTTAAAGTGGTGGCAACGTCTGGTGTGGCCATATTGGGAGTGACGGGAAGCAGCAAGTTTCCCCCATCCACAACTGGGGATGGAATTGCTTGGAGTCTGTAAACCACCTAGGGCAGAATGTGAGTTTATCCCCTAGGGGCCAAGAGTTTTTGTAAGGCCCGCACTTAGGATTCTGAACAAAGCCTGCTTATAAACAAACTGTCCTGGGTCCCTGGTTAGGGGACTGGCTGTGTCCCTCTGGTTGAACCTCTGGACACCGGTCCTGCATTTGCTGTTCTCTTCAGCTCATCACTGGAATCCAGACAGACTCACACCTGTGCCCACGTGTGTACCGTGATGCCATGGCTTGGATCTAGATGTCCCCCAAAGCCTCATGTGCTCGAAATAGGGAGTTTCCTATTACGCTGGATTAGGGCGTAATAATGGGATTGAGGGGGCCGATAAGGGAAGGCACACCCTGGGTGTGGGTGGCACCACCCAAAAGGATGGTGGCCTGGATGGGATAAAAGGGACAGGCTGCTGTTGCTCGCTGCTTTGGTTGCTTGTTGCCTTCCTACCTGCCATGCTGTGGAACATTTCTCCCTGCAGTGCCCCTCTGCCATGCTGCCCTGCTTTGGAACCAGCTGACTATGTGCTGAAACCTCTACACACTATGAGCTGAATAAACTTTTTCTCATTTAACTTGGGGTGTTGGATATTTTGTCTCAGCAATAAGAAAAGTAACTAAAACTTGTGAAGACAGTGGAGAGGAGAAACTGTTCTGCATGGAGGCTTGAGACCGTCTGATTGATGGCTGGATTCCCCCTCTTTCCCAAAGTCCCCCCTTTTTATCCAAATAATTTCAAGGAGCAGGCACTGTAGATTGTTTTATACCAAGATAGAGGGCTGAGATTTGTTATGTAAACAGCGTGGTGCTTTGGTAAATCTTGGTTTTATTAACTTGGAGTAAGTTAGACAAGAGCAAGTTGCTATTGTTGAAATTTTTTAGAAAACCTGAAAGTGAGGTTCTGTTTTCACTCATTTTACAAACTCATTGCTGAGTCTCTCTGTGCTGAGGACAGAGATCGTGCCTGTGTCTCTGATGTGGTGTCCACGGGAATGGCTTGTGGTCTGTGGGCAGAAAATGTAGGGAATACCATCCTTCCTCATCCTGCGTAAGGTTCTTTGGGTTGGCTGGTTTCCCCAGAACAGCATGAGGTATTCTTAAAGAGAGGACAGCCGAGAATTCAGAGCAGTTGGGGAGAGGTGCACAGAGGTGGAGGAAAACATGCAGAGAGCATCGGTGGTCACAACAAGAGCATTGTTCCCAGGTGGCATCGTAAACCATCCAGCCATGCCCAGCAGGCACAGTGGACTTCATGAGCGAATCTAATGCCAGTGGCGGTGTCAGCCCTTTGTCTGGGGCCCACCTCGCTCTGCCCTCCCAAAGCTAATGGTGCAGTGTTGTAAGCAACTGTCCTCTGAAGTGCTCCGGAGGGAAGGCATACTGACTCAGTCACAAGTCTTTGTCGTAGGAGAGAGGCCAGAGAACCTTTGACCCCTATTATTTATTATTACTGCTAACAATGACTTGCTGAGAGCCTCTTACTCACAGCTGCATTAGCAAGTGCGTCACTCCGGGGCAGCTCCCTCACCTTTGGGGAAGACGACCGCATCCCATTGCGGAAACCGAGGCTCACAGACACTCACTGACCTGCCTTGGGTCACGCCAGTGGACTGTGGCTGTGCTCTCAGGTCCTCTCGGCTGTGCCAGATCCTGTCCTCTTGGAGGCCTCTGGTCAGCATGGGTTTTCTTTGCATGGATTTTGCCTTTTAAAAATGTTGCATTCAGCTGGGAGTGTAGCTCAGTGGTAAAGCGCTTGTCTGGCATGAATGAGGCCTTGGGTTCAATCCTCAGAGCAGCCAAACAAAATACCACATTCAGATATTATGTATCTTGATATCTGAGTTCCTGGTGCTAGTGCAGGCCTCTGTTGTGTGACGGGGACCACACGGAGCAGTGAGCTCAGCTCAGTGACTCGGCGAAGTCCGGTGGCTGCTGGGGCCTTGGCCAGGGCTCACCTGGGTCTTCACCTGCTCTGCGGTGGCAGCCTGGGCAGCTGCGCTGGAAGCCATGGCCGGTTTCCTGCGCTCAGGATCGTGGGAGGAAGGAACCCACCTAGCACCGCTGTTGTCTCTCTCACAGTTGTGTTCTCCTCAGGTCAGGGAAGAGGTTAAAGAAGACCCGCAAGTATGACATCATCACCACTCCTGCCGAGCGCGTGGAAATGGCCCCGCTGAACGAAGAGGACGATGAGGATGAGGACGCCACAGTGTTTGACATCAAGTACAGGTGCCTTGCCGGGTGGGGACAAAGGCGTCCTCCTGGGCTCTTCGCCTTTGACAGCGCACTCTGCTGAGTCAGGCCCCAGGGTTGTGGGCGGGGCCCATCCCACCTGGGTGGATTTTACAGAGGAGCCCCACAGACGGGTGTGTTTCCTAGGGGCATCTGCAGGAAAGTCACGGTGGCTCTGCCACATCCGAAGGCAGGGTGGGTTCTTAGACCCTTGTGGGATGCGCTCTGAACAGAGATTCACAGAGGCGCAGTGAACAAGTGTAGAGCGGGGATGAAGGCTTGCGGGCTCAGGGAGCAGGAGGGATGAGTCCGGCCTGAGGCTCCTCCTGTTGCCCGGGGCTTCTCGGTACCTGGGAGGGCTGCCTTCCTCACCTGGGAATGGTTCTTCAGGATCTTGGCTGCCCTCAGCTCTTGTTTATTCTGCATAAACCAGTGGTTAGATTCTAGGTAAAAATTTTACTAGCCTCCTGAAACAAATAGGGGTGTATTTCCTTATTTTCTCCTTTGGTGTAGTTTGCATCAGATTAGAATTGTTTCCTAGCTGTAGTGGCGCACGCCTGTAATCCCAGAATTTGGGAGGCTGAGGCAGGTGGATCGCTGTGAGTTCCAGACCAGCCTGGGCCACATAGTGAGTTCCAGGTCAGTCTCAACTACATAGTGAGACCCTGTCTCACCCCACCCCGAAAAAGAATTGTTTCCTAAATGTTTAGTAGACCGAGCTGAAGCTGGCAGGAGCTGATGGTTTTCTTTGTATAAGAAGAATTCTTAAAACCATGGATGTTCAATTGTTTGAAGAGTAATAGGATGATTTAGTGTTTATTTCTTGGGTTAGTTTTGATGAGTTGTAGTTTTGGGGGATTTTGTCTATTTCATCCAAGTTTTTAAATGTGTTGTACTAAAGTTGTTCACAACATTCTATTATTATCCTTTATACCTCTTTGTAACATGGGTAGACACGGTCCCTTTTGTATTCTTAATACTCATTATTTTTGCCTCTTATTCTTTTTCTTAATCAGTCTTACAGGGACATTAATTTTATTAGTCTACACAGAGAACCCACTTTTGACTCTTTGATCCTCTTTATTATCATTTTCAATTCAGCGTCCTTTCGTTAAGCTTTTTTTGGTGTGTGTTCTGTTCTGTTTTGCTGACTTCCTCCCTGGGATATTTAGCTCATTTGTGGCCAGTTTTGTTATCCGTATAAGCATTTATTCTGTGACTTCACCTGAGTTAGCTCCTCCCACAGTTATTCCTTGTCACTGTCAGCCAGTGCCTCTCTGTTTGTCCTGAAGGACTGGACTTCATTTCTCTCCCATTAGAAGTTGTTATATGAAAGAAAAGCAGGGTGTGAGTGAGCCTGGCAGGGACTCCCAGGACACAAGGCCATCCCAGTGGACTACTAAGATGGAGTGGTAGGGCTGGGGATTTAGCTCAGTGGTTGCGCTGCCTGCCTCGCAAGCACAAGGACCAGAGTTTGATCCCCACTACCAAAAAAAAAAGTGAAAGATGGAGTCGTAGTAGCTTTTCTTATCACAGATGTAATACATGTAGAAACTACAGAAAAGAAACAAGGTAAATGAACTTCACTGTAATCTCATTACTTAACAGTAACCCGTTAGAGTACTCTTTTCAATATGTCACAGGGTCAACAAGTATAGAAGAACAGCGCTTTTAGGATCAGTTTTGTTTGGTGTTTTTTTTTTTTTTTTTTTTTTTTTTTTTTGCTGGTGTCATGGTTTTGAGGCCTTCTCTGTACCTTGACAATCTGGTCCCAGGAACCTCTTTCTTTCCTGTCAAGACATGGGTTTGATCCTCTGTAGGAAACAAGCTACACTTAAATTGAACGTGATCGAATCATGGCTTTGGTTGCTTCATGACTGAATTGAAAGAGGAAAGTGTTTTTGGTGTCAGGGCAGCAGGGTGGCAGTGGGCCTCTGATCAGAGCCTGCACTCAAGCTTCCTTGCAGCAGGGGAGGGCTTCTGCCGACAGCCCTCTTCTGGGGCTCTGCAATCCATGTGACGAGACCTCCAGGGTTTGGGCCAGATGCCAGGCGGGAGTGGTGTCCAGAGAAATGTATTCCAACTCCGTCTTTAAAAAGGCTAATTAGAAGAGGAGATGATAGCTCAGTGGAATCCAGAGAACCCTGGGTTCTGACATGGCTTCGTATTTCCAGAGGTGCTTGGGTCCTGCCTGCCTGATCTGTGCTTGGTCGGCCTAGGGTGCTGTGGTGGTGGATGCGTGAGACTCTGCATCACTGGTTTATGATGGGGGACTTTTGTCACACCCTCCGGGCAGATGTTGGCTCTTCCTCCCGCTTGTGTGGCAGGTACCCGGCCACTGTGACAAGCGCACAGCCCACGGGTGCGTCGCTGGGAGAACCACTGCTTTTGCCAGTCCTGCGTCCCGCCAAGGGTGAGGTCTTTGTGCCGCATGGGCGTGTGGCCTTGCATTCTGCACATGCCTTCCGCCCCCTTTGTGGGCAGGGCTTCCTGCAGGAGTATGATTAGGAACCAGTGAGATTTTGGCCGGGGCTGCACCATGGAGACCTGCGCCTGGCATCTTGTGTTTGGAGCAAAGGGATTCACTGCTGTTTGCTGCAAGCAGCTGCTGAGGGATAGGCTGGGCATGGAAGCCAAAGAACAAACTGCCTGGCTTATACTGGGCTTAGGCCAGGGTCTCCGAGTCCCCCGGGGGGACTCGGCTGTTGGTCTCAGACACCCACGTCTCAGAGATTTAGATCCGTGGTGGAGACAGTTGAGGAATGGTGAGGTGCTCACAATGGGGCCCCCCTGTGCTGCATGGAGGTGTTTATTCTTATAGCTGTGAGGGGTTGACTGCAGCCTGTGGGGTGGAGCAAAGGCAGCGTCCTGGTAGAGGCTCCCAGGCATGCTCTGGGACCCTGTCAGATGGTGCAGTTTGCTGTGTTGGGCCCGCCAATGGCTCTTCCTGGGTTCTGTGGCTGCTGGAATCAGCTTCGGTTCATAGGGGCATCTGTTGAGTGCACTTGGATGCTTGGTCTCTGAAGTGTCACCAATCCTCAAATCCTGTTAAACCTTCCTTTTTATATGCATGGTTCTATAATGCCTGTAACCTACCACTGACAGAAGATGGTAGCAACTTTACCGGTCAGATTTCCCCTCCTCTTCTAAGATCCTTTAGATGATATTTTGGATAGATTCAGTTTTTTAACTTTCTTTCATACAAGGCTTTCTGCACCAGTATTTCTTGAACCCCGACTTTGTCTGACACTGCTCTGGGGCTGGACTTTAGAGGTGAGAAAGCTTTAACGTGGCTCTTGCCTGGTCTGAGAAAGAGAAGGACATCATCAGACATTTACATAAATTGGCTAGGGGATGGGGACAGAAAATGAAGGCCTAGGCATAGGCCAAACTGAGCCCACTGCCTGTTTTTATTTATCTCTCAGTCAGCTTTCCATCATTGTAACAAAGTACCCAAGGTGATCAATTTAAAAAGAGAAAGGGGACAGGTTGAGCACTGAGCGGAGGTGTTACCTGGAAGAGTGGACTGTGCTTTCCAGGCAGCACATTCAAAAGTCCTGTGGTTGGGGATGTGCAGCTCCCAGGGGCTGAAAAGAGAGCTTGTGTGGCAGGAATTGAGATGGGGAAGGAGAAGCTGAAAGGGGTCCCAGGGACGGAGTCTGTTAGGGAGGGTCAGGATGGGTTTGTCCTAACTCTTGTTGCTCTTTTCTTTCAGGTAAAACCTTTTTTTCCAACGTGTTAGAATCCTGTGAGGTGAAGGACCCAGGAGCCTGCAAAGCACGGAAACCAAAACAAACACTATTTGTGACACCGTGGCTCTGCCCTATGTGCCCAGCACCTGCCCATAATGTCACCCGTCAACTGTGTTTCCACATTGCCACTGGAGAGTCGCCTCTGCTGCCCTTTGGACGCCCTTTTCAAATGTCACCCCTTCCTGTCACTCCTCTGAGAGGTTTTATGCCTTACCAAGGGGACAGGGATAGAAACATGTTGATTTTAAAACAAGTTTTTAAAGCAGCTGCTGACAATAGTCAAGCTCCGATCAGCAGAATTAGGAATCGACAAGGAGCCGGCAGGGTCCTCGGCTGTGCGTGTGGAATCCCGGCACTGTTCTCCTGGACCCAGGCGAGGATGTCTCCGACTGGCTTTTCACTTCTGTGGGGTTCTGGCCTCGCCTGGTGACACTCTGTGAGATTTTACAGCGGAAGTGTGGCTTCTCTGGAAGCCTACATATTATGGCTTCTTTCTCTTTTTTCCTTCTTTAAAGGGTTCAGTAGAAATAGGCATGGCTAGTTCATGAAGAATTTCAAATTTCAAATATCAGGGACAAGACATACATGTGCGCGTGCGTGTGTGTGTGTGTGTGTGTGCGCACGCGCGTGTGTGCGTGCGTGCGTGTGTGTGTGTGCGCGTGTGTGCGTGTGTGTGCGTGTGCGTGTGTGTGTGCGTGTGTGTGTGCGTGTGTGTGTGTGTGTGGC